TCACAGGTGCGTGGTGGGGGCTTGTAGTCCGTAATGGTCTGTATCCCCTGCCACAGGCTCCGAGTGTCTCTGCTGTCGCTGAAATGATGGGCTATCCTTTTGGGCTCCTACTCACTACATAGCTTTAAAAATACTTCAGATTGGTCATATGGTGCTATTTTACTGCATGAGGAGGACACACTGAACATTTCAACACTGATATATGGTTTCTCACTAAAGTCGAAAGTGGACATGTTGATGTATTTATAATGAGAAAGGGCCCTAAGACCTGTGTGTGTGTGCAGGCATGTGAGAAGGACTCTCAGTGTGGAGGTGGCATGTGTTGTGCAGTCAGCCTGTGGATCCGGAGCCTGCGAATGTGCATCCCAATGGGTCAGGAGGGAGAAGACTGTCATCCAATGAGCTACAAGGTTCATTTCCTCACTTTCCACCTCACTTTCATTATGATTTTTTCCTATCCCTATCCTGTTTTTTAATCTTTAATTTCTGTTTAGGTGCCGTTCTTTGGCAAGAGACTCCATCATACATGCCCTTGTCTGCCCAACCTAGCCTGCATCACAATAGCTGATGGCAAGTCCAAATGTCTCCCGCCATTTCCCTTCCAGGATCAGTACCTGTGATGAAGATGTTTACCTGTATACCATGCAAATGTTTGTATAAAGTGTATAGGACGGTGGGTGTTTTCTTGATTGATTTGAGATTGATTTTATTGAATTAATTTAATTGTATTTAATTTGGGTATGGTCAGCGTGTTGTGGTTGTTATTAGAGCGGTGTGCAACAACTCTTTGACAGTTCAGTAGTCCAAGGACTAAAGCACAATCATTCTGTTTCTTACTGAACCGTTTCATATTTTTGATAATGTTTTATCAACATTTAAAGGTTCCAATGTCTAAATCAGATCTATTATTATCAGGTCATGCACACTGTAATTTCATTTCATTTAGCATTAAAGGGATAGTTCACCCAAAAATGAAAATTTGATGTTTATCTGCTTACCCCCAAGGCATCCAAGATGTAGGTGACTTTGTTTCTTCAGTAGAACACAAACGAAGATTTTTAACTGAAACCGTTGCAGTCTGTCAGTCTTATAATGGAAGTGGATGGGAATCACGGCTTTGAGAGTTAAAAAAAACATACACAAACAAAACCAAATTAAACCCTGCGGCTCGTGACGATACATTGATGTGTTAAAACATGAAACGATCGCTCTGTGCAAGAAACTGAACAGTCCTCTGATGCACTGCAATGTCTGAACTGTCCTGAGCGCGTCCTCGACAACCGGCGCCTGACGGTTGTCTTTACGACGGATCACAGACTTATAAGTGCATTACCGCCACCTATCTCTCAAATGAACCATTGACACTCTATCTACAATCTCAATTAGGAGTGACAACAAGGAGGTCCATTTGAGAGATGGGTGGCGGTAATGCACTTATAAGTCTGCGATCCGCCGTAAAGCAAGAAGGGTTTAATTTGGTTTTGTTTGTGTATGTTTTTTTTTTACTCTCAAAGCCGTGATAATCATTCAAAAACCCAGGATTTAGGGAATGTGAAGCATCATTTTATGAATAACCAGGATTCATTTTTAACCCAGGGTAAATTATGAGCCGTGTGAAACAAGGTAACATTGGATTCCATTTACCCGGAGTTTAGAATGACCCACAACTATTTCAAGTGTGGAAAAGCTCCAATGATTAGCATATTTATTTATCATATTCTTTACGTGGTATTTTAAGGTACTTTAAAATAATAGCATGGTATTAGTATGGAGCATATACAAAAATTGTTCAAATGTTCAAATTGTTCAATGTTCAAAGTCGTTTGTGGGACTACCATGGTACTTTATTTTGTTGGTGCACTCGAACGTATTGAATACAATGAATACCTATGATTTAATTCCTGCTATCACAGATAACAACATATAAAAAGCTCTGTTTTATATAAATGTGTATTCAACCAGTCTAATATCCAAATAGTCTCTGGCATATTGTGTAGATTACTGTGTGGGCCTATAGAGGACATGTCAAACTACTCTAAATAACTATTCTTAAAAATGCTTACTATAGTATTCTTTTCTCATTTCAGTGTGTCACAATGAAGAAACTGTCATGGGAAAAGGGCCACCATTACTTTATTTACCCTCTATTGCTGCACTGAAGAACATTGAGTGTGCTGGAGCTGGAACTCTGTGTAGAGCTATTGTGTCATTGTTAAATAACAAGCATGCTTCTAGAGCAATTATACGAACTCTTCTCTAAGGTTTAAATAGGCTTTTTCTTTTGAAAAACCATTTGAGTCTGTGAAAGCCCAATTGCTTGAACAAAGCAAACTGTACATTGCATCCATAAGTTGGAGAGAAGTTTACACTGCGCTGCATGATAAAATATTCATGGCCTGCTTTTCAAATAAGTTTGTCTTTCCGTCAGACTATAACTGCTGTTTTAATGCACTAGCTGGAAGGAGGCCAGAAAGAAGGCAGTATGTGTGGTACATCTTTACACAAGGCGGGAATGCAGGGCAAATAGAAATGTTTGTTTTTTTAATAAAGCAAGTGCTTTAGTCTATATGTTTTCCCTTGGGCACTGCAGCTACCATTTTGATCAGTATGGCAGCAAATAAAGCAAGACTGAAACTGTTCTAAAAACTGTTTGTTCATATATAATATGGTAGTGTTAACAGCTCAGCAGATTGTGGCCTATTTCTGTCTCTTCTATGGGCCTCACATGGATGGCAAAGGCCGTTCAAATAAAACACTCCAATTAGCTGATGGGAGTTTTTCGTTATATTGCTACAGATGCCGAATAATCACAACAGGGGTCAATAATGCAGTTTCTTTCTGTGAAATGAGAAGTTTGCGTTTCTAAATTAGAATTTCATGTAAGGATGATCAGAAAGGCTCTGTGAGGGAAGGTTTAAAGGGATAGTCCTCAAAAAGATATACACACCCTCATGTCATTTCAAACCTGTATAACTTTTAAATGATGACAGATTTTCATTTCTTTCTTCCTTTTTTTTTTTGGTGACAACGTTCTCCTGTTAAAGGAATAGTTAACCCAAAAATGAATATTTGCTGAAAATGTACTCTCCCTCAGGCCATCCAAGATGTAGATGAGTTTGTTTCTTCATCGGAACAGATTTGGAGAAATTAAGCGTTACATCACAGTGAAAGGGTGCCATCCAGAATGAAAAGTCCAACAGCTGATAAAAACATCACAATAATCCGCATGACACAAATCCATCAATTTAACATCTTGTGAAGTGAAAACCTGCATGTTTCTAATAAAGAAATTCATCATTAAGACATTTTTAACTTCAAACCTCTGTTTCCGGCTAAAATACAAGTCATCTATCCATAATATTGCTTTGTGCAGTGAAAAAGTAATCTCTGAATTATGAGAAAAATATGCACAGATCAAGCACTGTTTACATGCGAAAACAGTTCTAAACAGATATGTCGGTGGATTTTGATGTGAGAAGACAACAGGGGATCGACTTTTTCACTGGAGAAAGTGTTATTATGGATTATGGACTTGATTCTGGCTGAAAGCAACAGTTTAACATTACAACAACTTAATGATAGATTTGTTTATTACAAACATGCAGCTTTTCACTTCACAAGCTGTTAATTGATGGACTGGATTACTTGTGGATTATTGTGATGCTTTCATCAGCTGTTTAATTGCTCATTTTGACAGCACCCATTCACCACATCCATTGGTGAGCAAGTGATGTAACGCTTAATTTCTCAAAATCTGTTCCGATGAAGAAACAAACTCACGCTTCCTTTAAAAATTCTTAATGTCTTAAAATTCTTTAAGCAACCACATACCCAGAATTGGGGGGAGCTAGAGTAAACATTTCAGAATAAAAAAATAAAAAAGTTTTGGTTGACTGCTAGCCTAAATATTACAGACACCATGTCACCTTCAATATTTATGGTGGCTATGGTCTTGTCTCTTGTCTGTTTTAACCAGAAATATTTTCCCTCTTCAGGTTTTCCCCGCTTTTACATAGAAAGCAGCTACCCAGGATGCCCCGTTTACATTTATTGAAGATAAATAATCTTATTTCACATCTCTAGTGGTCTGCATTCATTCTGTCAGTGCAATGCACCAGATCACATTAATGTAGAGCTGAAGTTGTGCTGAGGTTAGGTTCAGGAAAAAAGGGCTCTGTATTATATAACTGCCTGCAGGAAGGGTGGGGGGATGGAAACGCAGCCAAAAAATTTTCACTGAATGAGTGTGTCTGAAACATCACATTATGTCTCATGCCCCCCCCCACAACATCTAAGAGCAAGTAATGAGATGGAGGCTCAGTGAAATATGTACAAAAGCCAGATGTTTTACATCAGTTTAGTCTGACACGACAACAAAATCCCCTTCTTTTAATGCCTCGTTGGCCTTTTGCTTGCATTTGCTTTTGCATTTGATTCTTGTACTGCTTTAGCACACCAACACAGTGCATTTATAATCATTTATTTTAATTAAAATACAAATCAGTCTCCTCAACACTGACCCATCAAATTTGCTTGTGTCCATTGAAAACAAATTTCCAATAACAATTTAAAGGGACTGTGAGAGGGACTTGGTTTATTCACATTTAGTCCATGTGATAGTAAAAAGCCACTGGCCATTTTGTTCACACAAAAAGTCATAGCAAATATATTACATATCAGTTATAAAGAGCTCCAGAATATAAATAAATCATCTTTTTACATTATTTACATCGATATGTGGATTGCATAAATGTGTTTGTGGATCTTCTGATATGCAACACTGGAACAGATCTGAGATTTCACCTCTGAATGAAGGAAAATGTCACATGCTACAGTGGCTCCAAAAAGTATCAGGACACAGAAATATGAATGAACACCATTGCATTAGATTGCAAAATATCAAGTGGCATTAATTAAAAAATGTCTTTGCCTTATAAACCTTTTAAAATATAAAAGATATATAAGGCAAAACAATTTTAACAATTTTCTTGTTAAAGCAGCACTTTTTGTGAAGAAGAAGTATTAGAATCATAAACGGCTTTAATTTGAAGCAGACAAATATGGGAATATTAAAAACCGGAGATAGGTTTGAACACTCCTAGGTCTCTTCTATACGTTTTGGGGCCACTGTATGTTTGACAAGCAGGCAGAGACACTTCAAATCACGCAGTAGGGCTCCATGGGTGTTTGAGTAGTCAGGCAACACGGCAAACAAGCTCTGAACCTCATTCTCAGCTCCTTATTGAATATGAAACATATGATGGGATTGGCCCCCGCCTGGGCGAACGTTAACCACACGGCCGCGGTCAGGTACACCTGAGGAAGCGCGTTTCCCTTCACAAACACCCGGATGTAGCACGAGACGATGTAGGGCGCCCAGAACAGCAGAAACGCCAGCGTGATCATGTAGTACATCTTTCCTATCCGTTTCTCCATCTTGAACTCGTCCAGCACGAGCAGCCTCCGGTTGGCATTATGTGACACCTGCCTGATGCCCACTAACGTCGGCGGCGTCGGGCCGCGTCCAAACCCCGCGATCCAGTTAGCAGCGGCCTGGCCCGTCGCGCCCGGTCCGTGGAAGGTCCAGTTCTGGCTGATAGCCGGAACCAGCTGCGCGGGTTTCATTTTACGGTGGTCGTAAACAAAACATAGCATTTTGACATACACGACGTGCGTAGTGGCCACAATCACGGCCAGCATGAGCATGAAGCCCAGCGTGTCGTTGGCTTTCACGTATCTGTGCTCGAATATGCACTGCTCTTCCTCGCGGATAAATTTGTAGGTCCCGACGTCGAAGACCGGGGGAAACGCCATGGCGACCGAGAGCGTCCACACCATACAGATCACCGCGACGCACGTCCATAGCGTCATGCGTTTGGAGTAGAACCGGTGGTGCGCGATGGCCATGTAGCGCGTTACGCTGACGCAGAACAGGAGAAACGCGATGTGGAAGCAGAACAAGACGGCCACGAACGCGATGATCTTGCAGCTGGTGATGCTGTAGCTCCATACGGAGCCGCTGTTGATGGAGATCATCACGAACGGGAAGCACACGGCCGAGCGGATGATGTCTGCCACGCACAGGTCGAGGAGGAAGTAATATGGAGCCTTGTGGAGCGAGCTGTCTTTCAGCACCAGCACGGAGAGCACTGTATTCCCGAGCAGGCTGATGCAGGTGATGAGACCCAAAGACGCCAGTTTGACCGCAGACGCAGTGATGGCATAATTCTGGAGCGAGGGGTTGCTTCCCCCTGGATCACTTGTGTTCGCCATCTGTGCAAGCACAACCCAGGCTGGGCTTTGTAATCCGACATTAAGCAGTCCTGGTCTCCCAGTTTGATGTACAAAATATCAGCCGTTAACGATCAGTAGAGTCTTTTATATGACCATACCTCGAGCCTTTTGGAGATCCAAGACATCACGTGCATCGTTTTGATCATTTCAGCGTCGTACGGTTCTTCATTCTTCAAACCAGATGCTGGGTAATCCATTATTTGTCGAAGAAAAACGACGTGTATTACACAATAATAAACACGTATCCATCTCCACTGATCCGATCGCGGTCGCGTAGGCCGAAAACAACCCAAGACACTTCATCGAAACATCATTTTTGAATAAATACCAGCCTACATACGTGCGCATCCAGTCTATTGTGGAGGTCGCGGCGGAGCACGTAGCCGTCTTGTCTAGTGCGTTCTTGTTTTGGGGGGGAGGGGGTGAAAAGGGAGTATAAAGGGAACCTCCGGTGACAGCAAGGGTGGGTCCGTCTTAAGGGAGAGCGGTGCGATTCTGACATCGAGTCTACACTGGAAGCGGCCGTTGACGCCTCGCGACGCGTCGCGCCGCAGCGGCTTGAGGCTGTCTACACCGAAGCCGCACGTCATCTTAAAACGCTCGCTAACGCGGGCCAATCAGCTGTAAACTCGATGACTTCAGTAACGCTTAATGGGTGGATATCTATATATACAACTTTATATATAAATCTATGTACAACATACAGTTGTTTGTATATATATATGTATCTGTAGCAATTCTAAAAATAAAAATATTTTAGAAGTCGGCCTACTAAAAAATCATAACAATAAAAGTATAAAAATGTTGTTGCAGATGCATGTGATATGAGCTATAAAGATCTATAGCTCATAAAAACAATGCCATTTGAGAAGGTGTGTGGTTTTAATATTTTTACCGCTATTAAACATTTTTATTTTTAAAATGTGACTGTCTCCGCATGTTATTCCACTCTCTATTAGTTACTTGTATATTATTCGATTTTTGAAAGGTGTTAAAGAACCAAACGGATGCATGCATTTCCTTTAGACGTGCAATAAAAGAGTTTGTGATGATAATTGCAACACTGAATGAAATGAAGTTAAATATTTGGAGACTTAAGTGACGTTTTAAATGTCTGAATGCCATTGCTTTAGATACTAAATGTCAAACCAAGCGGCAGTTTAGAGCTTTTCTCAGAGCTAACTTCAATTTTGCAACGTTTAACAAACTGGTCCCAAGGTGATTTTTAGTGGATGTACACCTGAGTATTTACATCTACATTTACTTCAGTCTTAAAACATAGTCCTTGGTGGTCGTCCATGCAGTTTCGCTCTGGTGTGTCGTTTAAGCATTTAAGGCAAGCGAAGCGCTGTCCGTGGTGCTGAAGTGCATTCGTGACTGATAGCTGTCAGTCAGCCCGCTGCTGACCTGATAAAATCACCCAACCTGAAAATATTATTGAAAGAAAGCCCGCTAAAGTAACACGGGGACATGAGAGAAGTTCTCTATCTTAACAAATATCCAGTGAATCGATGGCATTTTCATTTCCTGGCCAGAAGCAGCCCCAGTCAGTTGTGTGATGAATAGCGTCCTCTGGTGTTTAGATATGGTCTGGCAATTAAGCAAAAAAATTCCACCTACAGTGCATCCGGAAAGTATTCACAGCGCTTCACGTTTTCCATATTTTATGTTACAGCCTTATTCCAAAATGGATTAAATTCATTATTTTCCTCAAAATTCTACAAATAATATCCTATAATGACAACGTGAAAGAAGATTGTTTGAAATCTTTGCAAATTTATTAAAACAAATAAAAATCGACATAATTATACACAGCCTTTGCCATGACACTCAAAATTGAGCTCAGGTGCAACCTGTTTCCACTAATCATCCTTGAGACGTTTCTACAACTTGATTGGAGTCCCCCTGTGCTAAATTCAGTTGATTGGACATGATTTGGAAAGGCACACACCTGTCAATATAAGGTCCCACAGTTAACAGTGCATGTCAGAGCACAAACCAAGCCATGAAGTCCAAGGAATTGTCTGCAGACCGCCGAGACAGTATTGTATCGAGGCACAGATCTGGGGAAGGGTACAGAAAAAATTCTGCAGCATTGAAGGTTCCAATGAGCACAGTGGCCTCCATCATCCGAAAGTTTGGAACCACCAGAACTCTTCCTAGAATGGGCCACCCGGCCAAACTGAGCGATCGGTGGAGAAGGGCCTTAGTCAGGGAGGTAACCAAGAACCCAATGGTCTCTCTGACCGAGCTCCAGCGTTTTTCTGTGGAGAGAGGAGAACCTTCCAGAAGAACAACCATTTCTGCAGCACTCCACCAATCAGGCCTGTATGGTAGAGTGGCCAGACAGAAGCCACTCCTCAGTGAAAGGCACATGACGGTCTGCCTGGAGTTTGCCAAAAGGCACCTGAAACAAAATTCTCTGGTCTGATGAAACAAAGATTAAACTCTTTGGCCTGAATGGCAAGCGTCATGTCTGGAGGAAACCAGGCACCGCTCATCACCTGGCCAATACCATTCCTACAGTGAAGCATGGAGGTGGCAGCATCATGCTGTGGGGATGTTTTTCAGCGGCAGGAACTGGGAAACTAGTCACGATGGAGGGAAAGATGAATGCAGCAATGTACAGAGACATCCTTGAAGAAAACCAGCTCTGGACCTCAAACTGGGGCGAATGTTCATCTTCTAACAGGACAACGACCGTAAGCACACAGTCAAGCTAACAAAGGAGTGGCTACAGCCGGGAGAACTCCGTGAATGTCCTCGAGTGGCCCAGCCAGCGCCCAAACTTGAACCCGATTGACCATCTCTGGAGAGATCTGAAAATGGCTGTGCACCGACGCTCCCCATCCAACCTGATGGAATTTGAGAGGTTCTGCAAAGAAGAATGGGAGAAACTGCCCAAAAATAGGTATGCCAAGCTTGTGCCATACTCAAAAAGGTGTGTGTGAGCAAAGATTTCAAAGACTTTCACATTGTCATTATGGTGTATTGTTTGTAGAATTGAGGAAAATAATACATTTTGGCATAAGGCTGTCACATAAGAAAAAGTGAAGTGCTGGGAATACTTTCTGGATGCATTGTAGATGGCTTTAGAACAAGTCGGTCTCAACGGAAGATGAGGCTTAATGAAAGAATTCGTTACAAGTGATACATATGCATGACCACATTTACCCAACAAAAACGGACGCGCACTCTAATTGTGTAGTTCCACATTTTCCGTCACTGCTGTCGTCACAGGTTTGTTTTTTTTTATTTGTATTGATATTTGGCTCCACCTGGTGGTCAATGTCGGAATGAACGGAACTGCTACTTTGAGTAGTTCACATTCTTCACAACTATCATTACAGTGGCAGCAGTGTGACATGCTATATTTACTCCCTCATTCAACAAACTAAATAAATAAAAAGGTAGAAGACTGGTTACAATATAAGTATAAATACACACTGTCCCATATTGTATATGCATATCAATTTTAGCTTAACATTTTGTTTGTTTCTGGTCTTCTCTGTGGTGTTTGTTACATGTGCTCTGCATTCTTAAGTATAGATAAGTCATCTTATTTTCAAAGGTCATTAGTGAAATTGTCCCACCTGTGTCATGTCAGACCGAGATAAAGGGCTCTGTTTTTTATACAATAGGCAAATATCAGCTATTGTTCCTTTTGTATCCAAATGTAATTTGAGCTGCAGGGACGGATAACGTTTTCGAGCCAGACTTAAGAAGAACAGAGTCGTCTCGTTTAATTTGCTTAATTACCTAATTAACACAACTCTAATTACTCCCTTTTTGAGCATGAGTGAGACAATGTTACATAACGAATACTTATCCTCAATTATTTTTTTAAGAGTGCCACTTTATCACAACAAGACCAAATCCACAGAGCATCAGACAAGCCAAATCTACATGATGCCAACACAATCCAAATAACATTGCTATTGTTTTCCTTTTGAGAAACAAACTACATGTCAGTCTCGCACAAATGGCTTGGATTTTCCTGTAATAAAGTTCTTCAGCCAATTACTGATGAGTTGTTTTATTACAGTGGTGACCCTTTGACCTCAAGGAGAATATTATATGATTTATTCATTATCATCTAAATTTAGAAAAAAGATCAAATTCACACAAACAACGTCTCTTTAAAACCTGACATTAAAGTTACATATTCAGATGATAAAAGTGTGCAATTTTTTAAAAATCTGTGTTATGATATACTGTAGGGTCACCAGAAATAATGTTTGTAAATTCATGACAGACTGTACTAATATTAAGGTAACATTTTTATATTACCAAATTGACCAAAAATTGTTTGGATAATCATAAAAAATGTATGCGTCATTTGCACACTTTGACCTCTTTTAAAATAATTATCTTGATGAGGTTTTTAATGTTGCTTTTACATATATCAGTAGATATCTGCCACTTTCTTGAAAGTATTCTTGGTTCGCGGCAGTGGACACGAAGCAGAAAAATAAGTCAAAATGGAGTATATTTCCATGATGGGTGTGTCTGTGATTGATGTATCCGTCTCATGCCTGCAGGCGTGCAGTTTTTCTGGATAAGAATATAGGCCAGTGACGCCCCTTGACGCCCCTAGATTTCACACTGAGCAATATGTCCAGGGACAAAAGCATTGCAATGCATCTCTTTGTCACATGTCAAAACAGTGTTTATGGAGGTACAAGGATTTTTGGAGAATTCCTAAGATGACCAGAAATGGTATTCCATCAATCAATTTAATACAAAACGATTTTAAAACATATTTTAGAAGGACTAGTGTGAATTAAGCTATAGGCACCTTAGCTGAACATGTGTACATATTTTGCTATTTTAAGTCTATATTTAGATTCACATATTCTAGTTGATGTGGTTGAAGTGTTTTTATTGGTATTGAGTGCTGGGAGACAATCACAGTAAATTTTAGAATTAATACATAATTCACTGGATCAATTATTTTATGATAACAGGTTTACAAATAATTTGACAATTCATACTTTTTAACTGTTAATTAACTTAAATGACCTGTTAATACTTTCACTATAATATATATATATATATATATATATTTTTTTAATCTTTAGTAACTATTTTTAGCAGACTTATTTGTATATATTGAATTTATTTTATGACAAAACTCACTACATTTTTTAGAGCTTTATTGCCAAGTATGTTTGCACATACAAGGAATTTGTTATAGTGTCACAAGCTTCCAGTACACAGAGACAACAACAACACACAGATAATAAAAAAATAAGATGTGAATAAAATACACATGCATAAATATAAACCACAAAAAAGTATAAATTGTATGAACAGGTGTGCTATAAATTGAATAGGAATAGAATAAAATAAAATAAAGTTGTAGGGATGTACTAGGATTTAGGGTGATAAATAAGTATAAGGTTATAAATTCAGCTCCACATGTCTGCAGGAGACACAATAGTCCAGGGGATGGCGCTCTAAATCCGTGAAACACATCAACTTGGGCCCATAAAGATGCACCGTCTTTCAGTTACTTGAACTGTGCATTTCAGTCCTTGATCAAGGACAATCAGACTCTCCCTTATTCCAATATTTTAGATTAATGCTGTTCACACTGAACAGTAACCAGCTTATTCAAGCGACCAATGATTATACTTTCTCTTTATTCTAATTATATATATTATAGGTGCACTTTATACTTACAATAACTAGTTCACTGCATACAGATTTCTCTGAAAATGACCTTTTGGGAAAATGTACTTATCTATCTATCTTGTCTATCTGTCTGTCTGTCTGTCTGTCTGTCTTGTCTGTCTATCTGTCTGTCTGTCAGTCTGTCTGTCTGTCTATCTGTCTGTCTTGTCTGTCTGTCTATCTGTCTGTCTTCTGTCTGTCTTGTCTATCTGTCTGTCT